ATCTAATTAAAATGTATTAAAATGTTTAAGATCAAATACAAAGTTTAATGAATTGTATTATGTGTTTTATTTTTATTTTAAACTCTTCAATTCTACAATAGTATTATGTGTTTTATTTTTATTTTAAACTCTTCAATTCTACAATAGTATTATATTTTGACTAGGTAGTAATAAACTTGAGAAATAAATTCAATTAAAATTTATTACATTTTAAATTGTATGTATGTTGAGCTTTTATATCTATTTGGTAGTGCCTACAAAATTATAGGTTTTGTTTTAAACCACGGAACCTAGAATGCACGGTTTTTAGTTAAACTTATGCACCCATAGTGCATGCGGGTTTTAAGTTTTGATCTAAACTGTTGAACCAATATAACACGGTGTACGATTAAACTTTTTAACCCGCATAGCCTTAATATAATAATATAATAGAGGTTTTGAAAAAAACCCATGCACGGTCCATACACTTATGGTAAACTTTGATTGCACTCGGTTCAATGTATGTAAAATTTTGTATTCAAAAACGCTGAAAGTCGGTGTCATGAACCTATTTTCGACCGAGTTTAGCACTGTGGCTTTAATATAAATTGAACCTTCTGAGCAACCAAATTGCTACTCGGGCAATATTGAATATACGCATTACGCTTACGCATTTACGCACCCGACTGATGACTGATGACCGCGCGTGTAGCGTACTAGCGTGTTCTCCGTGTTCGTCTACTGTCTCCAGTCTCCACTATAAATTTCATAGTTAAAAGTTAAAACTGTTAAAAAACTACTGATAAATTGTTCGCACCTATACCATCGTCCATTGACTATCACATCATATGAAAAGTAAGTACCTACATAATACGTTGTTAATATACGTTTTTTAATAGTTGTTATTTATTTACTTCGATATTAATAATTTATCATAATGTAGTATGTACCTCTTGTACCTATAGTATTTAACATTTTACTCAAATACTTTTGTTAAAGTATTTCTTACAATACAGCCTATGCTATATTATAATATACCTATATAAGTATGAATTTTGTGATATACCTGTATAATAGTTCATTTATTATTTAAGAAAACTCTTTAAATTTAAAATTGATAATTGCTAATTTAATCTTACTTTTTGGTGTTTTAGATACATTTGTTGTTACTTTCATATTACTGTGTCCATTGCAAGTTTGTTGGTTTTTCTTGTTGTTTTTGCCTTTTGGGTAAGGTATATGATAATTTTTTGTTGCTCTAAGTACCTATTAAGTAATTTTTTATAATTATGTCTAATCCCCCTGTAAGTAAATCTACCAAGCGCCGTAGGTTTTTAGAGGAAGTAGAATTGGTTGATGACTTATATAGTTTAGATCAACCACCTAGCACATCTAGAGTTCAAACAGGTGATGAATTTGAATATTCTCAGGAAAAGTCCTACCCAACTAACAGTCTTATCAATAATACAAATGAAGCAATAAATAGTTGTCCATTACCTATTGTCTCATTTTTTGATAGTCATCCACCGTTAGTTGACGAAACTGAAGTATATTTAACTTCCGATAGTGATAGTGATGAAGAATTTTCTAAGCAGTTTCATTTGTTTGCTGATGATAAACATAAAATGCTCAATTTACTTAGCGAATGGGCAGTCAGTAATAATATTACTAATAGAGCTTTGTCCGCGTTATTAAAAATTCTAAAATCTCATAAGTGTTTTGTTAGTTTTCCTTCAGATGCTAGAACTATTTTAAAAACCAATTTGTCTTGCAATAATTTTAATTCAATTCAATCTGTTCCACCAGGAGTATACCATCACTTTGGTATTTCCAATGGCTTAAATTCGTTAAGAAACGTTATAAGTTATAACACATGTGAAGAAATAAAAATTTTAATAGGTATTGATGGTCTTCCCCTTACCAAAAGCTCAAGCAGTACATTTTGGCCGATTCTCGGACATGTCCAAAATGATTCTAGTTATTCGTCTACATTTATAATTGGTGTTTATTGGGGAAAAGATAAACCCAAAGATAGTAACATATTTTTAAAAGACATGGTAAATGAACTTAAAGAATTATCAGAAAATGGCTTAATAACTGATTTTGGTAAGAAACGTGTGGTTGTTAGTGGCTTTTGCTGCGATGCTCCAGCCAGGAGTTTTGTATTGAAGACTAAGGGGGGTTTCATGTCATAATATCTTCGAAATAATATCTTCGGTCAAAATATCTTGGTCAAAATATCTTTTGTGAAAATATCTTATGACAAAAATGTCTCTGGTTAAAATATCTTTTAAACTGATTTTTTAAAAATGTTTATTCATATAATTTATTTATTTTATTTTTATAAATATATTGAATATTAATTTATATTAAAATTAGTGATTAATTAATACTGAATATTATAGGATAAACCTCTTAAATATTGAACTGTTGGTATTTCAGAGCAATTTTCCACGATTATTTTTATTTTTTATCATGATCTCTGTACTTTCTACGACGTGTTGGACTTGCTTCTCCAGATAAACGTTTTTCCAATCGAACCTGATATCACATAATTATTCTATTTGTAATTAAAGAAATAAATTAAATAAGATGAAATATAAATACCTCTTGTAACACTTGCTCATGTTTTAAGAAGCGTATGAATTTCCATATTGAAACGTGATTTGCTCCGAGTGCCGCATTGAATGCATGGTGCCATCCTTCTACCGAATTATTTGTACGTGGAAGATCTTGTATTACCGATTCATAGCAATTCCACATATTGACACTAAACATTGGCGGGCGTCGACCATTTCGACGGTTGGGACGTCCGATCCACGTGTCTTCAAAATAATTAATTATTGGAGATAAAATATTTTCATTTTCAACATAATAATTTGATTCAATTAAATCATTAAAATATTGTACACATATATTTATTGGAACATAAGCAAGTGCACATAGATGTCGAATTTGTAATGCGAATTCTGCATCTTCAGCGTACATATTTTGTAGTCCATTTTCTTGTATTTTACGCCAGATACATTGTTGGAAATGGAAAAAACATCCTTTTATTTCCGAATTGGGAAACACGTCTTTAAATGCTAATATAAATGATTGTTCGAAATCAATCATAATACTTCTTGGATTCAAATCCGGTTCAAATCTTTTTAAAACATTTAAAATTTCTATATATGATTGTTTTGTACGATCAGTCATTAATACGTAAACAACTGGATAAGTTGTTTGGTTATAACAGACGTGTATGGTATATAATTGTGAAAACAATTTTGGAACTGTCCGAAATGTCCCATCTGCCATCCAAGTATTACAGTTTTTAAGTATTTTTAAATTATCAATCGTCGAAAAAATCAAAATTCTTTTTTCGTTCTTATTGTCGTAAAGTAAAAATTGTTTATTATTAACTAACTGGTATTCGAGTGGTATATTTAAATCGTTAACTGTTAATGGGTTTTGAGGACAAACTTCAATTTTGGATCTTACTCTACGGATTGTTCGAGAAATCAGTGATTGACTTGGTAATTGAGCAGCAACAACTAGTGGAACAGTAGTAACAGCTTCACTAATTAAATTCCTTGTGGACACTTGATTACGTTTTGCATCATCTTTAATTTTTTCCAAAATTTCTCTAACTTGAATATTGGTACCATTTGGCGCATGTGAATGACTTGATTCCTTGAGTATTGTGCCTATAAATAATATAATATAAATTAATATACTTCGTTAATTTATTATGATAATTATATAATACAATAATTAATAGTTTTGAAATAAATATTTAAATCAATAATTACCTGTTTCATCTTTGCTACTTGTAAAACACGAACTGCATTTATATTTATTATACTCGGTACACCGCCAAATATATTTGTTTTTACCATTACTATAAAAAATATGGAGATATCCATTTTGTACTAATAATTTATTACCTTTTTGGCTTTTAATAAAAGTAAGAGTCATATTTAAGAAAGAAAATCAAAAGCCAAGTACATCAGTTGACAGGTAATACTGTTATGACAAAACTAATACACATAAACGATAAACTGCTAAAATGTATATAAGCCAATAAGCCTTCTACCATTTTTATCTTGATGGCATAATATATATACGTAGTCAATACATATAGTGACGTTATTACGGGGATCACCGGCCAGTTTTCGCAATAAGTAGACTAGCAGTTATAAAGATATAAAATGTTGATCGGAGATATTATAATGATATGAAATAATAATACCTAGGTATGTAATGCAACGGTTCGCACGGCGATAACGTCGATAGCGCCGATAGCACTANTGATCGGAGATATTATAATGATATGAAATAATAATACCTAGGTATGTAATGCAACGGTTCGCACGGCGATAACGTCGATAGCGCCGATAGCACTACCAAAATAATATTTTATTTATACGAAGTCAAAAACAATAATATGGATGTTCGGATGCACAATACATACCGCCTGAGATCTTCCGACGTATATTTTAGTATATAGAGATAAATTAATTATATGAATATAAATTAAAAAATTTAAAATTAAAAAAATATTTTGACCAAAGACATTTTTTCCGTAAGATATTTTGCCATAAGATATTTTGACTAAGATATTTTGACTAAAGATATTATTTCGAAGATATTTTGACCGGTCACCCTAAGGGGCACACTGGATTTTTTTCTTGTTCGAGGTGTACTATTGAGGGTGTTTATTTGGAAAATAGGGTATGCTTTCCACCTGGAATTAATTTTGACAAAAGAACACATTGTAATTTTTTGAATCGCTCAAATGATGAATATCACATAACTGATTCAGTATCATTAATTACTGAAATACCTCATTTAGATATAATTTTTAATTTTCCGTTAGATTACATGCATCTTGTGTGCTTGGGAGTTATGAAAAAACTGATTTTATTATGGATGGGCAGTCTTAAAAAAGCACCTGTGTCAGTTCGTTTAGAAACTTTAAAAGTATTAACTATTTCCAACAACCTTTTACTGCTTAAACCATCCATTACTTCAGATTTTTCAAGATCTCCAAGGGGTCTAAATGAAGTACCTAGATGGAAGGCCACAGAGTTTAGATTATTTCTTTTGTACTCTGGGCCTATAGTGTTGCAAGGCATGCTTAACGAAGATTGCTATTCCCATTTTATGTGCTTGCATATATGTTTTAGAATTCTTTTAACTTCAAACATTGAAAGTGAGATGATACATTTTTGTGAAAAACTGTTAATATATTTTGTTGATAAATTTGGGAAATTATATGGGAAACATTTTATATCTCACAATGTTCATGGATTGTTGCATATTGTAGATGATTATAATCAATATGGTGCTCTTGACAATTGCTCTTGTTTTCCCTTTGAAAACTTTTTACAATTTTTAAAAAAAATGGTTCGAAAATTTGACAAACCTCTAGAGCAGGTCATAAGGCGTTACAATGAATATTTGACTTTTTCTGAATTTAAAGATTCTACTTCCAAAAAAAACTTAGAATTTAGAAAGCCACACAATGAAGGACCACTTATTGATAAATGCACGGGGCCTCAGTTTAAATGTGTTATAATAGATGATTTTAAAATTGATACTAAATCCGTTGCTAATTGTTATATTGGTTTTATTAAAGACAATCAACTTCATATTTGTAAAGTTGAGAACATTTGTAGGAATAATCATGATAATGTGCTTATTGTTAAGTTTTTTAGTAGTGTTGAGCCTTTTTTTGTTAAACCAATTAATAGTATAAAGTTACAGATAGCCATTGTAAACAATTTATCAAATGAACTAGTTCACATAAATTTGAATAACACAAATTTTAAAAAATATATGGTTTTAAATAATGCTCAGAAATTACAGATCGCATATCCTATACTACATACAATTAAGCAAATTTAACTATGCACTACTGTCCATTTTCATTGTACAATTACTGTTATTAAGTCCCTATTTAATATTATTAAAAGCTAGTAAACATTATAATATTATGTTCTTTATACAATATGTTATTGTTATAACTCGTTAGTTATTAAAAAATAACATTTCTTAAAACCCGTGATAGTTAATGTAAATAAAATAAATATGTTACTAAAAAATATATAATTGATTATGATTTAATTTTTTTTTATTTATTTTACACAACTGCGGTTAAAGTATAATTATTTTTAGATTATTATTTATATTAACATCAATATGTAACATATTTATTATAAAATACTAAAGTAGATATATACTGAATATTATGATAAATTATTATTTAACACATTTTTTTAAAATAAAAATAGAGACTATTTATTAGTTGTTTTAACTTATTTGCCATAAGAACTATTGATTTTGGACAATAATAATGTTGCATAACCAACTAATCAATATTAATTTTTTTTTAGGATTATAGTACTAATTCATTGATATATTTAAAAATGTCAAATTATTCAGTTGTTCATTTTACCAAAGACAATAGTGTTGAAGCGGTTCCTAGTCTCTGGGTTAAAGGCAACTATTGTGCATGGCCAAACAACAAATTACAAACATCAAAATATATTACAAATAGACGTATACCTAATGAAATTGATTTTAAATATTTTAAAATTAGAGTACTTTGTAAAAACCTAAGTAAGTTTGGTATTTAACATTAAAGTGATTGTAAAATACTAACTACCTATTTATTTTATTATATCTACATGTTTGATTTAAAACAGCATCATTAAATGAAGCAAAATCAAAAGCAAATCTTGCGATGTATAAATCTGATTTTACTGATGACGATGAAATAGCCAATCGAAGTAAACTAAACTCACCCGGATCAAGATCTAATGCATCAATGCCTCTGTTTTCTGGTAATGTTGTAGTATTTGCATTTGTAAATGTATATGGCTGGGAACTAAATTGTTTAATTGATAATTTATTATACATTTTTATTCTTTAACTATAGATTCAGACAATGAAAACGGATCCATGTTGATAGTTCCTAATAAACCGTTTACATCTTTGAAATGTGAATCTAGAAAAAACCATACAAGGAAACTACAACAGGGTTGGTCCCCATCTCCAAAACAAATGAAATGTAATTCTAGTATATTTTTCTAATTTGAATAACTTCTATAATAATATTTATCTTATTTTAAAGCAATAAAAAATTGTGTTCGTGCGCTGGATGTTGCTATTTCTCCATCATCAGTTGCAAGTACCTCAACATTTCATGCCGGTATAAATGTTATATATATTGAGTATTTTCATTGTAATTATCTTAGGTTTGAAAATAATTAAATACGTTTTTTTTCAGAAAAAAGTTCTACAGCTAGGAGCCTAGGAAGCTTGTATTTGCTCATGGGTCTGACATTATTGTTTCCAAAAAAACAAAACGTAAGTAAATTAGATGAACAAAATCAATACCTGATTGATATACAAAAATTATCTTTGTCACTATTTTTATATGTTCTATTATATTAGTTAAGAATATAAATACATTTTTGTTTTAATTATTATTATTTTTATTTAAATGTTAAAATTTCAGATTCGCCTAATCAGTCTATCGTTGAAAATATAATTCACAATGACATTCAAGAACAAGATCCTGTTACTTTGTTTAGTAATAAGTCTTATACTCCAATCGATAATTTTTGTGTTGGAACTGTTGGTAATTAGAAAAACATTTTTTCATAAATTGAAACTAAATTAATTGCTTCTATATTATTGTTTACATTAGATCAAAATCTGGAAACAAAAGATAGTGCAACAAATGTTAATTCTGTTAATTCTCGCGCTCCACATGGTGATATAAATATTTTAATCTTTAATTTATATTTTAATTTATTCTATAATAAAAAAAAAACAAATTTTTGCTGTATTAATTTTAACAGATACTGTTTTTCAAAATAACATCATGCGTAATATAGCATTTTTAAAAGTGGAAATGCGACAAATTCAAAGCAATCAATCAGTAATGTTTGAACACTTTGAATCAATACTAACCCATTTACAAGGCAATAATACATATACAGATAAAAACAGTTTGTCTTTAAAAGATTTTCATGACTGTCCACTACCCTTGGATAATAAAATTGATTTAAGTACTATAGAAGATAAAATTGCTGGCGATCATCAATTTAGATCATGTTTGGTAGGTAATTACTTTTGCATTTTTGGTATAATGTCAAAATTAATTAACTTATTGTGTTCAATATGTTTTATATTTTCTACTTAAGGTTAACGAGTTGTCATATATTGGAGGAAAACATGTGAAAGCTATGGTCAAAAGATTAATGTCAAAATTGTTTACTGATGATCTTTTATCTTATTACTCTTATAGTGGTAAAAAGGGTAAAAATCCATTTTCATCACTATTCATTTGCTCAGTTATATTTGGTAGGTACCATCTATGATTAACTATCGTCTCAAAATATTTGATAAATATACAGGGTCCGGCTAAAAAGACCTACCTCCCATATTCCAATGAATTGCCATCTATAAATATGGAAGGTATTTTTGCTGGGCCCTGTATATATATATATATATATATATGTATATATATATTATTTGTATACATTATATAGTTTAAGTGTTATTGTTACTAATATAATATTAAAGTTTATAATTTGGAGTGTACTATTGTAAAAGTTTTTGTGGGAGCCCTCAATTTGTAATGCTGGTTTATTACATTTATCACAATTCTAAGAGTTTTTAATTTATGATTTTATATGTTTTCTGTATTATTATTTATTAGCCTAAAAATGTTTTAAATGTTATTCATTGTAATTGTTCAGTTTTAATAAACTTTAGAATAGAAATCTAATACAAAATACTAAATTATAAAACTAATTGATAAAGTATAATAAACTATTTGCTATAATAGTATACAATATAATATGGTATGGAAAGACTTAGTACAATTCTAAAAGAGAAATATTAAAAAATTAAATTTTTACATTTTTATAATTTTACAGATGCCATTAAAAAACAAGTTAAATTCTCAAATATTCCTAAGAATGAAATTGAAGAAACAATCAAATATGTATTAGCTCAAGCTCCATTCAACATTAAAAGGAAACAGGACAAAATAACCATTGCGCAATCAGTTTGATTATATTATTTTAACACTTTTTTTCTAAGATCTTAGATACTTAATTTTTCAATTATTTATATTATGTCCTTATTTCAAAATTGTAATTTATGTTTCTTTTTTGTATTAAAGAGAAATCATGTTTTGCTACTTTTTATTATTTGTCAGTTTGTCTAATTGGCTATTATAGTATTCTATAACAATAAGATATTTTACTTAATTATATATATAGT